ATGAAGAATTTACAAAATCAATGATTTCAACACAATTATTTCAATTATTTTACAGTTTCATTAAGTGCATATTCTTGTTTTCGTTAAAATTAGGAATAATTATATGAGTTTCAATAAGTACATATTCTTGTTTTCATTAAAATTAGGAATAATTATATGTAAATTTGCATTTTCTTAGCTAATTTTTATTGAACTGAAATTGTTATGTTCAAAGTTTTGCTTTGATGAAGAATTTACAAAATCAATGATGTTTATTTCAATTATTTTACAGTTTTATTAAGTGCATATTTTTGTTTTCGTTAAAATTAGGAACAATTATATGAAAATTTGCATTTTATTAGCTAGTTTTTATTGAACTGAAATTGTTAAGTTCAAAGTTTTGCTTCGATGAAGAATTTACAAAATCAATGTTTATTTCAATTATTTTACAGTTTCAATAAGACCATATTCTTCATTTCGTTAAAATTAGGAACAATTATATGAAAATTTCCATTTTCTAAGCTAATTTTTATTGAACTGAAATTGTTATGTTCAAAGTTTTGCTTCCATGAAGAATTTACAATATCAATGATGTTAATTTCACTTATTTTACAGTTTCATTAAGTACATATTCTTGATTTCATTATAATTAGGAATAATTATTTGAAAATTTGCATTATCTTAGCTAATTTTTATTGAACTGAAATTGTTATGTTCAAAGTTTTGCTTCGATGAAGAATTTACAAAATCAATGATGTTTATTTCAATTATTTTACAGTTTCATTAAGTGCATATTCTTGTTTTCGTTAAAATTAGGAACAATTATATGAATATTTGCATTTTATTAGCTAATTTTTATTGAACTGAAATTGTTATGTCAAAGTTTTGCTTTGATGAAAAATTTACAAAATCAATCATGTTTATTTCAATTATTTTACAGTTTCAATAAGTGCATATTCTTCATTTCGTTAAAGTTAGGAATAATTATGTGAAAATTTGCATTATCTTAGCTAATTTTTATTGAACTGAAATTGTTATGTTGAAAGTTTTGCTTTGATTAAGAATTTGCAAAATTAATTAAGTTTTTTCCAATTACTAAATTGTCATTTGATTGCAGAATTAACGTTCGTTTAGGCGAGTGGAACATCGAGACTGAGGAAGATTGCATCAACAAGAAGTCGTTCAAAGAATGCACCGATCCTCCAGTGAACGTGGGCATCGAAAAAGTCATCGTTCATCCGAACTACAACGACAGCGTCAAATCCAACGACATCGCCCTCATCAGATTAAACAGCGACGTTCACTTCTCAGGTAAATTAACTCTTAAACTATTATATAAGTTCTCTCCTTCAATCGAATTACAAACACTTTCAGACTTCGTTCGTCCGATCTGCCTTCCATCCGATGACGACTACGCTCGCGTCGGCGAAAAACTCTTCGTCGCAGGATGGGGAAGGACGGAGACGGCGAAATCGAGCGCCGTCAAGTTGAAAGTCCAAGTGCCGGTGACGAGTCGCATCTACTGCAGGAACAAGTTCAGGCAGGCAAACATCCCGATAAGGGACGGACAGATATGCGCGGGCGGCGAGAAGGGCCGTGATTCCTGCACGGGCGACAGCGGTGGACCTCTGATGAAGGGCAATCCTGAAACCGAGCAGTGGTTCGTCGCAGGAATCGTCTCGTTCGGTACAACCTGCGGCACAGAATCCTGGCCTGCCGTCTACACGCACGTCTCCGTCTACAACGATTGGATACACAGGAACGTCTACTAAATCCTCATTTTCAAACGTGTTCTAAATCTCATACAGACTAGCTGAATCAAGTAACTCATCGATAAATAAACAATCTCATTACCAAATCGTATTTATCTCAAATCCTGCAAACACAATTTCCAATTCGAATCAATTCCAAGTGATTACAACACAAAATCGATCGTTTTAGTCGATAAATTATACAAATCATTTACAATAAAAGAAAACAATAACTAACAATTAGGTGTTATTGAAACGATCATTAAAAACATTCAACTTTGATTAATTACACACTACACAATGCGGCGCATTAAACTTTTTCTACGTTGCTATAAACAATTGTTTGTTTTATCAAGCCATCTAGATTATTTAAACTTAATTACTTACATCAATTAATTTAAAAAAAAATTTACGTCATTTAATTACGGAATTCCACGTTAATTGAATTGCAAATCCACTTGTAATTTTATACTAAGAAAAATTTAAAAATATCTACGAGTATTACACAAAATGGGAATTCACGTTTTTCCAGTGCAATTATCTAATCTTTGTTGAAATTGTACAAATTTTCAATAATCGAATTAATTTGGACAATTTGGAAGTAGATTAGAATTTAATAAATATGAAATTATGATCACTCTTTTAGATCAAGTTGGAATTTAAACAATTGCTGCGATTGTTACCATGGAAATGATCTCATTTTATTTATATAGTGAATGCGTATGCAACATAATTCGCAGCGAATGTTGAACTGTTGAATAAGATTTAAATTTCGAATCATTAATTAACAAAATCTATACTTAATTCAATATTGAAATAGTGGAAAAGGAATAGAAGTTTGAATTTTCTTAGGCTTTGCTTTTTAGTTAATCTAAAGTTTCTAAATGGTTTTTTTTTTGATAATTCTAATAAAAATAATTGAACAAATTTCAGAACTTTAGATTTTCTTAGTTTTTGAAAATATGTGTCTGAAAATGTAAGTTTTACTGAAAGATGGAAATACTACATTACTTAATTTTTATCAAATATTAAAGTTTTTAGTTTATCTGAAGGGAATTTAACAATTTCAAAGTTTTAATTCCTCGAAGATTTTGGAAAAGTGTCTTCAAAAATGAAAGTTTTACTGAAAGATGGAAATACTAAATTGCTTAATTTTCATCAAATATTAAAGTTTTTAGATTATCTGAAGAGAATTTTATAATTTAACAATTTCAAAGTTTTTAAATTTTCAAAGATTTTGGAAAAGTGTCTTCAAAAATGAAAGTTTTACCGAAAGATGGAATTACTACATTGCTTAATGTTAATCAAATATTAAAGTTTTTAGTTTATCTAAAGAAGATTTAATAATTTAACAATTTCAAAGTTTTAAATTCTCGAAGATTTTGGAAAAGTGTCTTCAAAATTGAAAGTTTTACTGAAAGATGAATTTGCTAAGTTGATTAATGTTCATCAAATATTAAAGTTTTTAGTTTATCTGAAGAGAATTTTATAATTTAACAATTTCAAAGTTTTAAATTCTCGAAGATTTTGGAAAAGTGTCTTTAAAAATGAAAGTTTTACCGAAAGATGTTTAATTTTCATCAAATATTAATGTTTTTAGTTTATCTGAAGAGAATTTTATAATATAACAATTTCAAAGTTTTTAAATTCTCGAATATTTTGGAAAAGTGTATTCAAAAATGAAAGTTTTACCGAAAGATGGAAATACTACATTGCTTAATGTTAATGAAATATTAAAGTTTTTAGTTTATCTAAAGAAGATTTAATAATTTAACAATTTCAAAGTTTTAAATTCTCGAAGATTTTGGAAAAGTGTCTTCAAAAATGAAAGTTTTACTGAAAGATGGATATATTAAATTGCTTAATTTTCATCAAATATTAATGTTTTTAGATTATTTGAAGAGAATTTTATAATTTAACAATTTCAAAGTTTTAAATTCTGCAAGATTTTGGTGTCTTTAAAAATGAAAATTTTACTGAAAGATGGAAATACTACATTGCTTAATATTCATCAAATATTAAAGTTTTTAGTTTATTTGAAGAGAATTTTATAATTTAACAATTTCAAAGTTTTAAATCCTCGAAGATTTTGGAAAAGTGTCTTTAAAACTTAAAATTTTTGATACTGAAAGATGGAAAATATTGCTTAATGTTCAGCAAATATTAAAGTTTTTAGATTATCTGAATAGGATTTAATGGTGAATTTTGTTGGACGCACAAGTTTTGATTGTTTTCGCATGAAATTTGCAAACGCATCGACGAATTGAACGCAAATCGGTACGCAAATAGCTTTTCCGTGTCGATAAAATCGTATTTAGAACTAACGACGAACCGCAGAGTTATTTCTATTTTGCGTCACGATCTGTGGTCAATGACTTAAACTACAACTAAATGAAAAACTACAACTGAATCTTCATTATTCCAATTATTGCATTATATGAATGAATTCAATAGAATAATTACTTGTAAAATGCAATTTACAAACGATTACAGGTGTGGTTAGATTTTAATGAACACTTTCCAGTTAAAAAAAAAACATATAATTAATTTCAGTTTATATAAATCATGTTTTTAATATTTTTTGTGTTTACTTGAATGTTTATAAAAAGATCAAAGTTCAAGGATTTCAATAAATAAGAAATATCAATAAAAACACAGCACTTTCATTCTTTTATAAAACAATAAGATACAAAAAAAAATAATAAATTTGTTTGGTAATTATTTTACTATTAATTACGCTTTAATTACGTTCCATTGTTAAAGGAAATGAGGTAGATTATATAAGAAAAAATGAAGTAAAATAATTGCTTAATTAGAGAAAAGTTTATTTGTAGAAGAACCTTGAACTTTCTCGTCTGATCTCTGCAGATTTCGATTCGAATGGAAAATCTTTGCTAAATATAGTTTCTAACTCAATCACGAAGATCTATAGCAAATATTATTGCATATTTCATTTTTAAAAGAGAAAGAACAAAAAAAAAACTGGAAGTGTCCGAATTCATTAATAAATTATGCACAAACATTTAATTATTGCTTTAACTCGCGGTAAACAAGTTTCAATAAATTGCACAATATTTTAGAAAATTTAAAGGTTTCATAATGTTGCGCATTATTTGCATGCAAGAAGTATCAAATCAAAGTTTTACGAAAAATTGCGCAACTTCCAGAAGCTGAAACGAAATGCATAATTTGCAGCATGAATAATCTAATTAATTAATTTATTTGCATTTTGCATTAGTTTTTGGGATTGAATTTTTTGTAGAATTTTTAGTTCTTAATTCGAAAGTAAAATTGATTTGTTTGCAATTTGCGCATTATTCGCATTCAAGACGTATCAAATCAAAGTTTTACGAAGAATTGCAATAATCTAATTAATTTATTTGCATTTTGCATTACTTTTTGGGATTGAATTTGTAGAATTTTTAGTTCTTAATTCGAAAAATTTGTATAGTAAAAATGATTTGTTTGCAATTTGCGCATTATTCGCATGCAAGAAGTATCAAATCAAAGTTTTAAGAAGAATTGCGCAACTTCCAGAAGCTGAAAGGAAATGCATAATTTGCAGCATGAATAATCTTAATTAATTTATTTGCATTTTGCATTAGTTTTTGGGATTGAATTTGTAGAATTTTTAGTTCTTAATTCGAAAAAATTGTATAGTAAAATTGATTCGTTTGCAAATTTTGTTGTTGTTGTGGGATGCGACAATTTTAACTATCTGGAATGGAAATTGAGTCATCTCTTCTCTAATCTAATCGCAATTGCGTGGATGTACGTTTTTTTGGGTGTATGGATATAAGCGAATTTGTTGTAGTTGATTATATAGTTTATTCTTGTGCTTTGTTTATGAATTTTTCTCTGTAAGTTCTCGGTAGGTGAAAAAACCCACAATCGTCTCGTGGATTCCCCGAGCGACGAATTAAAATAATTAAAAAGAAGTGCAAGAAGACGAATTGGCTTAATTAGAATTCCGGCGAAGATTCGCAGGGATTTCTCAGGATTAAATGTTTCGGTGGTTAGAGAAAAGCTGCCGTCGACCGAACGGAAGGATAAATTATGTGAGGAAATCCCCTGGACGACTCCCACGCACCGACGAAGACTTTTATAAAAGCCGACAGATTTCCACTGAATTCCATACATATTTCGCGTTGCGCGTACACTCATCTATTATAATAACTGCAGTGCGGAGGTACGAAGAAAAGTGCAGGCGTTTTGACGCACTTCGGTGGGATTCGATTCGAAGTTTTCGGATACGTTTCCGCGTATCATTTCCACTCCGCTCGCGACGAAACGTATAATTAACTATTATAAGCTGGTACACAACATAGTAAGTCACTTAGTGTTTGCGTTGAGACGTCTCTCTATAAAAGCGGCGGCCGGTGCCGACAACAACAACAATACAAGAGCAGATATCGAATCGCGATGTCGTTCCAAGCCTTCTCCTTCACTGTCGCTCTGATTTCAGCGCTGGCGATCGCTCAAGGAGCTCGTAAGTAATCCAAATATTTAATCAAATTCAATAATAAGATGAATTCTGCGCAGGTGAAGTCAAGGAGATAGTTTGCGTGCCGATCACCAAATGCCCTACGTACATGAAGATCCTGGAGAATAAGCCGGTCAAGTTGGAGGTGTATCAGCACATCAAATCCGCGGGTTGCGGCTTCGACGGTTTAATCCAGAAGGTCTGGTGCCCCAACATCGGGATGAAATGTAAACAAATCGAATTTAGATTGAAATCAATAGGATTAATGTATTGTTTTTGCAGCTCCAATTGAGAAAGAGAAGCCGGACACTGTACCGAACAGGAGTCTTTTACCGAAAGACGAGTGCGGAAAGCAGGTGGCGGATCGCATCTTCGGTGGCACTAAAACCGATTTGGATGAGTTCCCTTGGTTGGCCCTCATTCAGTATCCGGATAGATCGACCGGAGGTTTGATTGGAAGATGCGGAGGTGCCTTGATCACAGATCGTTACGTCCTGACGGCTGCACATTGCGTCACCTATGGAAACAAACCGTAAGCCGACGAAATATTTATTAATTTGAAACGGGTTTCATTGCTCTCCAACGTCCTTGCATATTTTTATGCAAATCGATTTTTTTTTAAATGTTAAAGCGTGTTACACAACAAACGAATTATTGTTTGTTTGCAGGGTACAAGTTGTGCTGGGAGAGTACGATATTAACAATAGCACGGATTGCGTGGACAACGAGTGCGCGCCGGATCCTATAATCGCCGGTGTCGAGAAGATCGTGGTCCATCCCGAATGGTTGGTCAAAGAAAGGCCCTTCTTCCACGATATAGCCATCATCAGGTTGAATAGAACTGTTAAATTCAACGATTTCGTGAGACCCATCTGTTTGCCGCAGCAGGATCGTCAGATAATGGCCGATGAACCGTATCAGGTTGCGGGTTGGGGACAGACGGAGACAGGTAACATTTTCTAATTAATTAATAATTAATTATTGATTTT